TAGAGGGAGCATGGGGTGGGCGGAGAGAAGGGAGGAGGAAGGCAGAAGGGGAGTGAGGAGGACGTGAGGGAAGGAATGGGAAGGCTGAGATGGGGGAAGGGCAGAGAGGGAGAGCAAGGAGAGACCCTGATAGAGGGAGCCCTTACGGGGTTAAGGTGAATCCGGGCACTAGGGGAATTCCTAGGAATCCACAAGGACGACCTCAGCTAAGACTCTAAGCATCAGTGGAGAGGGTGCCTGAACTGGCCTCCTCTTCTAATCAGATTGATGACTGCCTTAATTATCATCATAGAATCTTTGACCAGCAAAGCAGATGCAGAGCTCCACAGCTAAGCACTGGGCCGAGTTCCTGGAGTCCAGGAGCAATAATATGAACAAAGGGGTCCAGACCAGGATGGGGAAACCCACAGAAACAGCTGACCTGAGCTAGTGGGAGCTCACTGACTCTGGGGAACCTACATAGGACCTAACTAGACCCTCTGAGTGTGGGTGACAGTTGTGTGGCTTGGGCCATCTGCAGGGTCACTGGCAGTTTATCACTAGTGCTTGAACTGGCATTTTGGGGCCCATTCTCTTTGCAGGGATGGAGGGATACCTTGCTCAGCCTAGATCTAGGGTGGAGGGCCTTGGTCCTGCCTCAAAGAGATACGCCAGTCTTTATGGACTCCCCAAGGGAAACCTTACCCTCTCTGAGAAGTGGAGTGGGGGTGTGTGGGAAAAGTAGGGGGAGCAGGAGGAGGGGAGGGAGTGGGGACTGGGAGTGGTATGTAAAATGAGAAAAGGTTGTTTTAAAATTTAAAAAAAAAAATGCTTTGCTGGAGAATAAAAATAAGCTGCCATTGGCCTATGTGTCTCCTCTCTAGCCTCAGTCCTCTGCCCCTCCAGGATGAATGCCCCTCCCCCTTTCCCATGTCTGCTTCCCCTTCTCCCTTACCCCCCCATCTCCCACCCACATCCCAGCCGTCCCAACACAGACCTCCCCTTTTCCTCCCCTTAAAACTCACACCTGCTGTATCATTTGCTGCTATTTCTGCCTGCGTCAGAAAGCGGCCACTTTAATTTTTCTTCCCTGTTTATTTAATAAAGGATCTCTCTGTGAAGGCAGGTGTTTGGCTGTGGTTTTTGCCTAATCTGGGGTCCAGGAGGAAGCCCTGCTATGCGGGGGTCTCCTTCACCCTCATCGACCCTCTTGTAAGTAACCTTGCTAAAACCCATTGGTTCACCAAGTCGGACTTTGGAAGTAGCTGTACTTTGGTCTTTATGGGCTCCCTGCATCTCCCTGGGAAATGTTTTGTTTTGTGTTTTGGATATATTTTTTTTTAAGGTTTCTCCATGTAACATGTCCTGGAACTTCCTATAAAGTTCCAGGATGACCTCCAACTCACAGAGATCCACTTGCTTCTGCCTCCCAAATACTGGGATTAAAGGGGAGCACCACCACAACTCAACCATGTATCTTTTATTCTTAAAACAGAGAAACAAATGTTTGATATACAGATCTTATCAGTTTGAAATTATTAAAATCCACCCAAAACTAATATAAACAGCACTTTTTGAAGGTGTTTTGTGGGAGATCCTAGTCCCTACAGGAAAACAGAGAACACCCATTTTCAAACAGCGAAAAGACACTGAACATGTAGGTACCCACAGAAGAGAAGACAGCTCTCCAGAAAGAATCACTTAATGAAGAGGAATCTGATTTATGGTTTAAAAATATATATATGTGTGTGTGTGTGTGTGTGTGTGTGTTTAATCCTAGTAAACTATTTCTATACAGAAATCTATTTCTCTTTACTATCTAGTATTTCTCTAGTCCCAATTCATGTAAATCAATGCTGGCTTTGGAGTTGGATTTGGCTTTCCTTCTCTAAATTCAAGCATGTTGTTAAGATTAAATTCTATCTCCTGAACTTGTTACCCACATTTGTTTTTCTCTATGACACCACACTTGTTTGTTTGGGGTTTTGTTTTTTGAGACAGGGTCCTGGAACTTATTATGCAGCTATCCTGGAACTCATTATACAGCTATAAGATGACCTCCAGTTTCTGAGCTTTTTGCCCTTATCTCCCCAGTGCTGGAGCTACAGACATACAGCCCCACATCTAGTTTAAGCTGCGCTGGAGACTGAGCACAGAGCTTGGTGCGTGCCAGGCAAACATTACCAACTGAGCTATAACTGAAGTTCATGATGTAGCTCTCTGTATTTACTTATGATAGTAACATCCAGTTCAGGGGCTGGAGAGATGGCTCAGCACTTAAGAGCACTCCCAGATTCAATTCCCAGCACCTACATGGCACCTCACAACTGTTGTAACTCTAGTTCTAGGGGATCTGACATCTTCACACAGAAAAACAGGCAGGCAAAACACCAATGAACATTAAAAAAAAAAAAAAGAAAGAAAGAAATCATTAAAAAAAAAAAAAAAAAAAAAGCCTGGTGGTGGTTCCACACGCCTTTAAATCCAGCGCTTGGGAGGCAGAGGCTGGTGGATCTCTGTGAGTTTGAGGCCCTCTACAGAGCTAGTTCCAGAACATCAAAAAACAAAACAAAACAACAACAAAACAAAACCACCCAGTTCTTGAACCAGGCACATTGCCCCCCCCCCCATCACATTCTCATTCTGTTGCTCTTTTTTCTCTCTTGTAACCAATCTAATTACTGCAGGGTACCACTCTGCCAGCTCACAAAGGACAGAGCAACCCCACATTCAGACGGATCCTATTGCTAGCAGCAAATAGAGGGTTACCTTGTTCTACCCTGCTTTCTTAACAACAGTGTCATACCGTGAAAGAGTAATGCATTCTTTTTTAAAATGTTCAAGGCTTCACCAGTATTCTTGTTAGTGCCCATCTTGCTGACCCTTCCAACATACTAAATTAAAAAAGAAAAAAAAAAATCAAGCTCCAAAATAAAGACAAAAGAAAACATGCTTGATTTTTAATCTATCAACAATGGCTTTTCTTCCAGGATATATCCCCATGGAAGGAGGGATACTCCCTTAGCCTAGAGGCAGAAGGGAGGGCCTAGTCCCTTAACCAAAGAATTTGGCAGATTTTGATGATCCCTCCTGGAAGGCATCATCCTCCCTGTGGTGTGTATGAGTGTGTGTGTGTGGGGGGGGCATTGGATGGGAGGGGGATGGGAGGAATGGATGGGAGGGAGGGAGAGGGAACTGGGATAGATATGTAAAATATGAAAAAAATGGCTTTTCTTCTTCTTCTTTTCTGTTTGTTTTTCCAGACAGAATTACTTTATGTGACAGTCCTTGCTGTACTGAAACTTACTTTGTAGGCCAGGCTGGCATTGAACTCACAGAGATCTGCCTACATCCAAGTGCTGGGAATAAAGGCATTCAGACCATGGCTTTTCTAATCTTTTCTCTTTCTCTTCCTTCTTTTCCTTTTTTTTCTTTTTTCTTTTCTTTTTACTTTTGTGTAGCCCTGGCTGTCCTAGAACTTACTCTGTAGACCAGGCTGGCCTCCTGAGTGCTGGGATTAAAGGCGTGCACCACTGATGATAATAGCTTTTCAATTGAACCTCTGATAGACTCAACACTAGCATGTACATACAAACATGTGGGGCCCACATAGCTAAATTATAAGATTACATGCACAGACATCTGAAAAGAAGATGATGAACTTGGCGAACTGCAAGACTTTAGACATGCCTGTGTTACTGAAGCGGAAGAGATGGATCAAAAGGAAGTTGGCACCCAAGGAGGAAAGGGAATTGTGGGCACTAAGGAGTATCAGGTGTTCAATACTGGCATTACTGCAGTGAATGATATGTAGAAGGCCTTCTTCCTTTTGAAGCATGCATTTTAATGGGGGAGGCATTTAATTGTTCATGAATATTAATCAAGGACTATAGGTTTATCTTGACATCACTGAGACCAATTTGAGTGGTAACTACTACAATTACGCCCAAGTCACCTGGGTCAGCTTTCCCAGCATAAAATAGGAAAAATCATGAGTGTGTAAAGCTTTATAGCCAGCCTTGGCCTAAGAATGGGCCTGATTCTGATCTGATATTAGCTTGAGATAGACCATGTATAGCCTGACTTAGGAGAAATCACTTTTTAGGGGGAGGGAAGGCTAGAGATAGAGTCTACTCATATGGTACATGATAGCCTCAAACGTTCACCACCAGGCCTAGCTCTGAACTAACGTTTGGCCTATTTTATAATCCACTTATCTTCTAACCCCAGTCTCAAGGATCTGTGTGCTTGATGCCCGGGCCCATGCTTCGGTTGTAAGTCACCCATAAACTGCACCCTGCAATTCTGGGCTTGCCTGCCTCTTTCTTTGGTCTCAGAGGTCTTTGGGACCAGTTCCCACACATTGGGACTGGGCTGTCTTGTGAAGAAAGAAGGAGGAGGAGAAGGAGGAGGAGAAGAAGAGCGCATTATATCAAAGCATAATACTGGAGATACTGGGTGTCAGAGAGTGCAATAAACAGATTTATTTATTTTTGCTTTCAGACACTGCATTCTCCTGAGTTCAGTATAAGTAAATAAATAATGGTAAGTGTGGTGATATTTTGTTTGTGATCTAACAAATAAAGCTTTGCCTGAAGATCAAAGTGCAGAGCTGGCCACACTAGTTAGCCACAGATGCCAGGCAGTGGTGGCACACACCTTTAATCCCAATCCAGAGGCAAGCAAATCTCTGTGAGTTCAAGACCACCCTGGACTACACGAGAGTGACCCAGTCTAAAACAGAAAACAAGCCAGCAGTGGTGGCTCACACCTTTAATCCCAGCACTTGGGAGGCGGAGACAGGCGTGATGTGGCTGGGCAGAAAGAAGAAAGCTTCAGGCCATTATAAATTGTTGCAACGTTGCGAATCCCCCTGCAGTTATCTTCCACCAGCCTTCAAGCGCTCAGACGGCGCAACGCACTCCTCCCGTCGCTAGGGGCCGCTCTTGTTCTCCCGGCGGCCGGAAGGCAGCGCGGCTTCCGCGTTTTCACCGCGCATCCGCAGGCCTCGGCGCGCTCGCTCTTCCGGCCATTCATACGCTCAGTCGGCTAGTCTTCGGAGCCCGAATTCCGTGCCCAGTAGGCCCCGAGGGAGGCTGCGCCGCTAGGATGAAGCTCGTGAGGTGAGGAGGCGCCCCAGGCGGGCCGAAGGCAGCGGGGACAGGGTTTGGGCGGGCTCGGGAAGCCGGGCCTCTGTGCTCGCAGGGCGGCGGGAAAGCCGCGTGCGCGCGGCCTGCTAACGGCCCCCCGCGCCCCGGCCCGCCGCGCCCTTCTCGCCGCTGCGGGCGAGGAACCCGCGCGCCGGCCCCGCGCGTCTTCCCGGAACGGGGAGCAGAGACCGCTTTCCCTGGCCACTCGGGCGGGCTTCTTGCGCGGACGAGAATTCAAAACCAGCATGGCTTTATCTGCAAATAACGACGCCGAGTTGCTAGACGTTTTAGATTGTTCTATTTTGGATCGGTTATATGTAACTCGTTAATGTCGGCTTTCCATTCACGACAGTGTCCCTGGATGGGGCAGAAGTTAACTTCGCCTGATTGCAGATTGTGTCGGTTAGTGGAGCATTGTTTGCTGGTACGATTACTTCCAAACGAAATGGGCTTGAGGCAGAGCCCGAAACAGGGTGTAATTAGAAATACTTAGTTTCTTGCTGAGTCGAGGACTGTTTACAGTCACTGGTTAAAAGTAGTTGTACATAATTCACGAGATTTTTCTTTTTGCTTTTTCGAGACAGAGTTTCTCTGTGTAACAGCCTTGGGTGTTCTGGACCACGTCACGCTGGCCTCGAATTCATAAGAGGCCTGCTTGTAAGGGTTCAGGCATTACGCTGGCCTGCCCCTGTCACCTGGCAGAATGCACTCAGGCAGTGCCCTGGGCAGGTGCAAAGGACCCCTTTAAAAGAGAGACATCTGCCCACCCATGCTTTCTTTCCCGCATTCTCTGTCTCTCTGCTGTTCCCCTGAGGAGGACAGGACTTTTCCTGTCTCCCTTTTCTCTTCTGCCCTCTCTCTGTCACTGTGTCTCTTTACCTCTCCTCTCTTTTCTAACCCCTCCCCCTTTCTAATAACACTTTTCACTTAAGTCCTGTTTATGTTTGTCCTTCCTGCCTCGTGGGTCACCCTCGACCCCCAGGGAAGCCCCACGAGCATTTATCATAACCCTGCCTCTGCCTGCTGAGTGCTGGGATTAAAGGCATGGTCTACCACCTCCTGGCTACAAGATTTCTTTCTTTTCTGTTTAATGGTGAAGGCAAAATATTTTACATTTGTTCTGTTTGAAATGACAAATACTCTGTTCAGGGGAGTTGGTAGAGAAGGAATATAAGGTTTAAAAATTTTTTTTCCACCTATTCTGGGGATAGCACCCATAGAGTTTCCAATAATCACTCTACCTTTGAGCTATTGCTCCATTTCTTTGGTATTTGGACTGTGACATTAGGAAGAAAGTCTCAGAATTTAAAGTATACTGTTGCTGTTTCTGTACTGCCTGATGTGAACTGTAGTGTATTTGCAGTAACTTAGGTTTTTCTCATTTAAAGATTGTTACCATTAATTTGCTTTGGGGTGGTAGTACTGGGGGTTACCTCGACTTCCAGCCAGCGTCCTAGGCAAGTGCTCACTCTGTTACTGATGTGAACCCCACTCCCATTTGAGACAGGGTTTCTCTGGGTCGCCTCAGCTGTCCTCTGGAACTTGCTCTGAGGACCAGGCTGGCCTCAAGCTTCTTGAGGTCCATTCCCTCTGTTTGGGATTAAAGGCGTGTGCCACCAGCACCTCCTGCTGATATTTTTTTTAATAGCTTGTCCTGAATCTTATTTTTTGTAGTGCACAGTAAAGAAATTTCTTATAGGAGAATGTATTTTGCCTCATGCAAATGGTTGTTTGTTTGTACTTTCAGTCTACGTTCTTATTTGTGCATCAATTAATTGGATAATTTAATCGTCCTTTATCACATTGCCATCTTGCCCCCAATGTAGGAAGTGAGCTTTCCTGGCAACTTTTCATTTAATCTGCCTGTCATCTGACAAATTGTCAGTTGTCCTATTTTTCTAAATGAAGATACCTTTCTCACTGTCCAGTTATATTTGGTTTTCTGGTCAAATAGAAAGAATGTAGATACTTAAAAGACCCCATGTACCTGACTGTTTAATGTCCTACTTGCATTAAAAGAATTCCAGCTGGGTGTTGGTGGTACATGCCTTTAATCCCAGCACTTGGGGCAGGCAGAGGCAGGCAGACCTCTGTGAGTTCGAGGCCAGCCTGGTCTACAAAGCTAGTTCTAGGACAGGCTCCAAACCAATACAGAGAAACCCTGTCTCAAAAAACCAAAGAGAGAGAGAGAGAGATAAATAATTAGAAGCCAGGTGTAGGGGTACATACCTCGAGTTCCAGCATTTGGGAGGCAGAGGCAGGAACATCTCTGAATGAGGCCAGCCTCATCTACAGATTAGTTCTGGGACAGCCAGGGCTACACAGAGGAAACTGTCTCAAACAACAGCAGTGATAATAATAAGTAAGGGAATTCACAAAATGAAGGACTCACTGAAAAATTGAGACAGGATGTCATCAGGTTGTCTAGAAGTCACTGCATACCCCTGGCTGACTTGATTGGGGATCATTCCACCTCAGCCTACTGAGTAACTGAGATTACAGATCTGTGCCTAGATAGCTTAAGGGAATTTTTTAAGCAGACTTATCTCTCCTGCTCACCCCCTTCTCTCTCAAACAGTTTCTGCTTCCTGAGTGCTGGGATGAAAGATCTTTGCCCCCATGCTGGGTGGCATAATTTCTAAAGTGGTATATAAGGTGGGTCTCTTAGTTGCTGAAATGTTGAGCCCATCTCAGTGTTTTTGTTTTTAATTAATGTATTATGTACACAATGTTCTGCCTGCATGCATGCCTGCACTGTAGGCCAGAAGAAAACACCAGATCTTATTATAGACGTTTGTGAGCCACCATGTGGTTGCTGGGAATTGAACTCAGAACCTCTGGAAAAACAATCAGTGCTCTTAACCTAAGCCATCTCTCCAGTGTTACCTATAGAAAGGCCCTGCTACTTACCTTCAGAGTAGTCCAGGAAATATTACTGGTGCAGTTTACTGTAGTAGATGCTGATGTAGTTCATAAAAGGTATTGTAGAAAGATAGGTCAGAAAATTTGAATATGAAGTGTTAAAGGATTATCATTCCATGGCTATTTGGCTAAAGTAAAGCATGGGTGATGCTGTAGAATTATTTCACTTCATGTAATTGTGTGTTGTGAATTATGGACTAGAAAGTCAGAACATGAGGTAGTTTGCTAGGTGCCGCTGTTCATCATGCATTGGCACAACTGGGGAGCATTATAAGGCATGTTTGTTCCTTAGAACAGACAAGAAAGAGGGGAATTCCTGGGGAGCTACATTTCTAAAACATGTAAAAGTAGAGAACTTTGCAGTCCTGGTATGGGAAATATCACCTTAAAGCCTGAGCTCCAAAAGGGTCATAACAGATAGAAAAAAAAAAGCCAGGGGGCTGGAGAGATGACTCAGGCTATGAGTCCTGGTTGCTCTTCCAGAGGATCCAGTTCAATTCCCAGGACCCACAGCTGTCTGCAACTGCAGTTCTGGGAATCTGATGGCCTCTTCTGGCATCTGTAAGTGCCAGGGACACATGTTGCATACATACATCAAACAGGCAAAACATTGACACAAAAATTAAAAATTTATAGTTTTTTGTTTGTTTTTCGAGACAGGGGTTTCTCTGTATGGCCCTGCCTGTCCCAGATCACTCTTTGTAGACCAGTCTGACCTCAAACTCACAATCTGGCTTCCCAAGTGCTGGGATGAAAGGCATATACCACCTGGCTTAAATAACTCTTTTTTTAGTTTAGTTTCTTTTTATGTGCATTGGTGTTTTGCCATGGGTATCAGGGGAAGAGCAGTCAGTGTTTTTAACTGCTGAGCCATCTCTCCAGCCCCTTAAATTTTAACATTTTTTTAATAAAAGAAAGTCAGGTGTGGTGGCATGCATTGGGGTCTGTACTCTAATAAGTGATGGACTGATAAAAGAAAAACTCAAGCTGATGGTGTGTGAATAATGTATAAGCAATTCACAAAAAGAAATAAGGATGTTTCTGTATTCATGAAAGACACCAAGTCACAGGCAAATTGCCACTGTTTCCTCTTCCTCCTCCTTTATCCTGTTTTATAATTATTATTTTTAAGGTTTACTTTATGTATATGTACCACATGTTTGTCTGATGTCTGTGGAGTCTAAAAGAAAGCTTTGGGTCCCCTGGACCTAGAGCAGTTACAGACAGTTGTGAATGTGGGTGCTGGGAAGCTAACTGGGGTCCTTTGGAGTAAGCTGCCAGTCTTGTTTTGTTTTTCGAAACAGGGTTTCTCTGTATTGGTTTGGAGCCTGTCCTGGAACTAGCTCTGTAGACCAGGCTGGCCTCGAACTCATAGAGGTCCGCCTGCCTCTGCCTCTTGAGTGCTGGGATTAAGTTGCCAATACTCTTAACCAGCTGCAGAGCAATCTCTAGCCTCTCTTCCCCCCCCCCTTTTTTTTTTCTTTTTTGTAACAGTCTCATTTGGCCAGCTATTTTCAAACTCTTCACCTAAGCCCTTCTGCCCCACTCAAGTGCTAGAATTACAAGCATACATCTGTCCTGGCTTTGCTTATTAGAAAATAATTACTATGTTTACTCATGTTTACACAACAGGTGTACGTAGATATTATAAGACAACTTTGAGGATTTTGGTTTTGTTTTCTACCAGGGTCCCAAGAATTAAAACTCAGGTCCTCTGCCTGTATATCAAGTGCTTTTGCCTGCTGAGCCAGCCCTGCTTGGCATTTTGAATTAATAATTTTGTTGATGATTCCTGAGGCAGGGTCTTGGTATATAGCCTTGGCTGGCTTGGAGCTTGCTGTGTAGACTAGGCTGACCTTGAACTCACAGAGATCCACCTGCTTCTTCCTGGTGTTGGTATTAAAGGGTGCCATCATGCCTGGTTCAGATTTATTTGTTAAGATTACAAGTATCAGAGTTAGAGAAAAGAGAGGTTCTTTATTTCTATCATATAATCTTTTTTGGTTTTTGAGATAGGGTTTCTCTTTGTAGCTTTGGAGGCTTTCCTGGAACTTGCTCTGTGGACCAGGCTGGCCTCAAACTCAGAGATCTGCCTCCCAAGTGCTGGGATTAAAGACATGCACCACTACTGCTGGGCTCTATCATCTAAATGCTACCAGTGACAAATCTCATTTTCTTTTTGTGGCTTAAAATTAGTCTAGGGTCCTTTTGTTTGTTGAGAAACTGTCTCACTTGCTGTGTAGACCAGGCTGGTCTCCAATTCACAAAGACCCATCTGCCTTTGCCTCCCGAGTGCTGGAATTAAAGGCGTGCCCACCACCACCACCCTGATACTGCTCTAGGATCTTGAATGTCTTATTTGAAGTTGTTGTCTAATACTTTCCAGTGCTCTCTAGTCCAAACCTCAGGACAATTATGAATGTGGCCCAACACAAAATCTCCAACTGAAGCATGACCTCTGTAGATGACATTACTGTGTCAAACATTTGAATGTTCTTACAGTCCGTGGGCTGCAGGTTAGACACCCCAGGATATGTTGCCTTCATCCAGTGTGGTCCACCTGTGATAGACAGCTGCCAGATGACAGTTTATTACTTTGTTCATTTATAACTTTAAGTGTAGTTCAGGAAAAGTATACATGCTGTATATTACTAATATGAATTGTTAAGATATTCATCTTATATGTAGGAGTGTTTTATCTGCATGTCTAGACCCCATAGGAATTGTTGCAGTAACAGTTTGAAGATTTTGAACTCTAGCAATTTCACCCACCAGCTTTACAGAGACTTACAAACGTTCCAGGTAAAAATTTAGGACTTTTTGTTTTATAGGTTTTTGATGAAACTGAGTCATGAAACTGTAACCATTGAGTTGAAGAATGGAACACAAGTCCACGGGACAATCACAGGTGAGGGGACTGCATTGTTTCTGTAAAGCTTTTGTTTTTCTGCCCCTGCTCACCCCACAGGGTTTTTTGGTTGCTTAATGAACACTATTGTAGTAAAGGTTCTCATTCCTTTTTTCTGAATTACTGCTCCAGTCAAACAATTTGGTAAAATACTCTACCAGCTGAGCTATCCACAACCCCCAGAATGGAATTCTTGCTTTATTATTTTTCTAAATCAAAGTCTTAACCATGGGAAGAAAACAAAACAAGTTTTACCAAATACATAATAGGTGCTTAGTAAATAGATGTCCCAGGAGGAAGATTTCAGTGAACTGGGAGAACAAAATTTAATACATTCTCAATTTTCACCAGTAGACAATCACTGTTGGTTCCTGACCATGTGCTCAGTCACAGAAGTGTGCTAATCGTCCTGTCTGCCACATAAGTCTCTGCGACCCCTTTTCTACACAAATCTCACTAGGAGATGGAGGAGGCAGAATGCATTGAGATTGTTGTAGGAAGGGAAAAGGATTTGTTTTTGTTTGCGTGTGTCCTGACAGAATTTTTCTGTGTAACCCTGGAACTTTGGAAGCACTGTTCTTTCCTGGAACTCACTCTGTAGACCAGGTTGGCTTCCTGTGTAGAGGAACTCAGAGATCTGCCTGCCTCTGCCTCCGAGTATTGGGAGTAAAGGCCTTCATAATCATCCCCTGCTTGTTTTTGTTTTCTGAGCCAAGGTTTCTGGCTGTCCTGGAACTCACAGAGATCTACCTGCCTCTGCTTCCAAGGTGTTAGGATTAAAGACTTAAGGAACCAGAGAAATGATCTGGTTGGTAAAGTGCTTACTGCTCAAACTTGAGAACCTGAATTCAGAGCCTGGAGGTGGTAGTACACGCCTTTAATCCTAGCACTTGGGAGGCAGAGACAGGTGGATCTCTGTGAGTTCAAGGCCAGCCTGGTCTACACAGCAAGTTCCAGGACAGCTAGGGCTACACAGAAACACCCTGTCTTGACATAAAAACAAACAAAAACAACTTCTGTGTGTATTACTGTGAGTGTGTACATGATTTTGTGAATGTTAGGGGTTACAGATGTGCAGTGCGGCCACCACCCAGCTTTTTTTTTTTTGGATGATGATGATGATTTTACTGTTCTTATTTTACGTTCATTGGTGTTTTATCTGCATATACATCTGTGTGTGGGGGGGTCAAAGGTCCTGGAGCAGGAGCTGCAGACAGGTGTAAGCTGCCATGTAGGTGCTGGCAATTGGACCTGGGTCCTCTAGAAGAGCTGCCAGTGCTCAACTGCTGAGCCATCTCTCCAGCCCCAAGATTTTATTTTTAATAATGTATGTGAGTACAGGTGCCATTGGGGGCCAGACGCACTGGCTCCCTCTGGAGCTGAAGTGCAGGCAATTACTTATGAGCCTCCTGATGTGGGGCTTGGAACCAGATTTGGTCCTCTGCAAGAGCCCTGCACACTGAACTGTTGAGCCATCTCTGGCTCCTAAAAATAAGTACACTTTTAAGAATAAATACATAGATATGTTGAATGTGGTGTTTGCTTGTAGACTTGGGCAGGAGAATTGCAAGTCTCAGGAAGGCGGGGCAGAGTTCCTAGTGATAGGAAAAAATACCATTGGTCTTTAAAAGGAATGGTGGAAATGGCTTGATAGAATGTTGGGTAAGGAGATGGAGACCGTAGGAGAACTGTGCCGCAAACACTGCCCGTTCCTGGGACAAGAGTTCAGTTCTGAAAGTAGTGGAGGTGAGGTGCAGCACTCAGGGCCCCTCCACAGCTCACTGCACTCACCCGTGTGTCTGTCAGGTAGACTCTCTTGTCTGTGCTCCAGGCTCTCCTCTTGCCCCAGCCTCTTGAATGCTGAGATTACAGGGATGGCTTCACCACACACAGTGCATTCAGTGCTGCACATGTACTCAGCACTCAGTAGCACCCAGGTAGCAAAAGTCTTTACAAAGGAAACATCGCTGATTTTATTGACAGTCCCCAATTGTGCATGTATTAAGCTGTCTCAGAAACTTGCACTGTAACATACCAGATAAGACTTTCTTTTAAAGATTGATTGGTTATCTTTACAGTGTTCTGTCCATATGTATCCCTGCCACCAAATAGGGCACCAGACCTCATTATGTCTGGCTGTGAGCTACTATGTGAATGCTGGGAATTGAACTCAGGACCTCAGTAAGAACCGTCAGTGCTCTTAACCTCTGAGCCATCTCTTGAGGCCCCAGATAATACTGTGCAGTATGATTTCAACTGCTGTTTTTTTTTTTTTTTTGTTTGTTTGTTTTTGATTTTTGAGGCAGGTTTCTGTAGCTTTGGGGTCTGTCTTGGATCTCACTCTATAGGCCAGGGAGTCCTCAAACTCACACAGATCCTCCTCTCTCTACTTCCCAAGTGTGCTGGGATTAAAAGAGCTCACCACCAACACCTGGCCTTCAGCTGCCATCTTTAGCGCGTTGGTAATTGTTGTGCTTTCTCTCCCTTTAGGTGTAGATGTCAGCATGAACACACATCTTAAAGCTGTGAAAATGACCCTGAAGAACAGAGAGCCTGTGCAGTTGGAAACATTGAGTATTCGAGGAAATAACATCCGCTATTTTATTCTACCAGACAGTTTACCTCTGGATACATTACTTGTGGATGTTGAACCCAAGGTGAAATCTAAGAAAAGGGAAGCTGGTAAGTGTGAAGATGATTTGTATATAGTGTATTTAAATGTTAATTCGTTGTGGCTCAGAATGCATCTGTGAACATGAAGGGTGCATTGTTGCTTGGAACATCTTATATACATATGAGTGCATGTGATAGCTAGCGCTCCTGGAGTTGCTGTGGAGAAGAGCTGTGTGTGCCTTTCTCTGCTGTCCTTCCCTCAATGGAGTCTAGATTTGGAGGCTGACTGCAGCTTCCCTTTCTCTTGTTCTAGATACTTTGTGAAAATTCATTAGGAATTTTCTTGCTTAGAGGACATCAGATGTGATGATGTCTCCCCTTTGTTCTTGGGATTCATGATAACTGGGCCTTTTGGCTGATTGTTTTCTCGTAGCCATTACCTTCCTCTCTCAGCATATTCTCAAGCCTCCTTTGAGTTTTCGGAAGATCCTGTTACTCTGTTGCTGTCTGTCTTAGGGTCTCTATTACTACTGCAACTCTCATAAAGGAAACACATTGACTTGGGGTGTGTTATGTTTCCGAGGTTTAGTCTGTTATGGTGGGACATGGCAGTCAGTGCGCAAGCAGAAGAGCATTGTCTTGATCAGAAGGCAGCATGAAGTGAACTTCCCTGGGCTTAGCTTGAGCATATATGAGACATCAACGCCCACCTCCACCCACAGGGACGATTCTCCAGCGAGGCCACGCCTAATAGTGCCACTTCCTTTGCCGGCCATTTTCTTTCAAAGTGCCACATTCATTCCTTTTTATTATTGATAGACTAGTAATTGTAGTTTTCTCTTTTGGGGACACGCATGGGGGAAGGGGGTGTGGAGACAGGGTTTCTCTGTGTAGCCCTTGCCATCCTGGAATTCTTCTCTGTAGACCAGGCTTGCCTCCAACCAAAAAGATCTGCCTGTCTACCTCCTGAATGCTGGGATCAAAGGTGTGCACCACCACTACCTGGCATTAGTTATAATTTGTTCAGTTTATTTGGAATTTGGAATTTTCACATACATATACATGGTATCTTGATTAGCTCCTTCGGAACCTCTCTTCTTCCCATATACCCCAGTTTCGACTGTCCTACCCAATTTTTCTTTGAGAAGTTTTTAGTATTTTGACTTTGTTAGTTTTCTCTAATTTTTCTCTCCCTCTTTTCTTTTTCGTTGTCCTGAGATAGGGTCTCCTGTAGGTGAAGCTGATCTCAAAGTAGCTGAGTAACTTTGAACTGACTCCTGCCCTCTCCTGGAACTAGGGGTGTGGTTTTTCACCATCCTGGTTTGTGTGGTGCTAATGATCAAACCCAAGCACTGGCGCGTGCTAAGTAGACACTTTACAACTGAGCTACATCCTTAGCCCTATTTTCTCTGATTTTCTTTCTGTTTGATCTCTCTCTCTCTCTCTCTCTCTCTCTCTCTCTCTCTCTCTCTTTCTCTCTGCGTGTGTGTGTGTGTGTGTGTGTGTGTGTGTGTGTGTGTGTGTGTGCGCGCGCGCGTGCATGTGCATGCATGTGCATGCGTGCGCACACCCCTGGGTTTCTCGGTGTAGCCCTGATGTCCTGGAACTCACTCTGTAGACCAGGCTAGCCTCAAACTCAGAAATCCTCCTGCTCCTGTTTCTGCCTCCCAAGTGCTGGGGTAAAAGGTGTGCACCATCATTGCCCCGCCATATGTGTTTATTTTTAAAGATATTTAGGAAGGACATTCTGGGGCTAGGAAGTATTTGTCAAGTCTAACCTTGAATTTGTGACCTTCCTGCTCAGCCCCCCCCCCAACCCCCAAATAACTGGCCTTTTAGCCTTATTCCAGCAGTTTCAGCTTCTATAGGGTTCCAGAAACACAGTTTCAAGATCTACAAGTCTGTCCTAGTGCGGTTTTTCTCATGGAGAGGTTTCAGTTTCCTGCTGAATTAGCGTCTTTTCTTGTTTCTGTGAGAAAATACCTGACAAGAAGCAGCTTCAAGAAAGAAAGGTTTAGTCTAGCTCTGCAGCATATGAGGGTCAAATGACCCTTTCATAGAAGTCACCTAAGACAGTCGGAAAACAGACACACTCGCGATTCGTAACAGCAGCAAAAGTTATGAAGTAGCAATGGAATAATTTTATGGTTGGGATCACCACAGCATGAGGAACTGTATTGAAGGGTTGCAGCATCAGGAAGGCTCATAGTTCAGGGTTATATTCCATTACCTGGAGAAAGCAGAACTTGGGTTCTGTCCTATCCTGTCACATTGTGTCAGGAAGCAGAAAGTGAACAGGGAGTTTGGCCAGGCAGTAAAACCTCAAGGCAAATAGTTCCACCAAGTGGATACCAAGGGTTATACAACATGTGAGTCTGTGGAGGACTTTTCACATTGGAGATGCTGCACCTGCTTTGGGAGATGGGGTTGTCAGCCAGCAGTGTAAGAATAGGGCAGGAGAAAAGGGCCATTGTTTCATAGATGATTAATATGTTGACCTTGAGGTTTTGCTTGTTGCCTTCCACCCAGAAATGCACTTTGTGTTGTAGCCTGCTGGAATTAGTTATAATAATACAAATTCTCTTGAGTTTATTTTTTTATTTAAAAAAATATTGTATAGCTTTAAAAATACTGATTTTACCTTTGTCTGTGTCTTTTGATTCCTTTTCTGCCGTAGTAACAGGCTTTACAGGATGAGGGGGCGGACTGCCTAACTGATGATGCTCATAAACAATGTAGACAGTTTTTGATTTGATTTGTTTTAGCCTCCTGCCTTATCATCTCACTCTTTGTATATAAAATCCTAGTTTCTTTAGAAGCCATTCATCTATTACTAAATGCACACCTATAATCCCAGACCTTGAGAGGCAAAGGCAAGTGGAACACTATGTTTGAGGTCAAAGTAAGGTCCAGGACAGCCAGGCCTAGAAGAGTCTCTGTTAGGATTTCTATTGCTGTGAAGAGAAACCATGACCAAGTCACTTCTTACAAAGGAAAACATTTAATTGGGGTGGCTTAAGTTTTAAGCAGTTCAGTCCATTTTCGTCATGGTATGATGTGTACAGACAGACATGGTGCTGGAGAAGTAGCCAAGGGTCCTACAGTTTGACTTGTAGGCAACAGGAAGTGGTATGAGACACTGGGTGTGGCTTCAAATCGTGTCTCCACCGTGGCACACTCCTCCATCAAGGCCACACCTCTTCATAGAGCCAACTCCTTTTAGGGGTCATTTTCTTTCAAAACACCACAGAGACTATATCCTAAAATGAATGAATGGGTGACTTTACAGGATTGTGAGATTATAGCTCAATGACAGACCATTTGCCCGACTATGTGAGGCCCTGGGTTTGATTCTGACCACTAGGGAAAATAGACGAATCTCAACCTTGAGTACACCAAGCAAGTGCACTGTGGTTTCTTCTCGTTTCTTTGCTTGTTTTGTCCTTGTGATGTTAAGGATGTGGCTATGGGTTAAAGTACTAAGTTATGGCTGAACCAAACAAGTTTTCAGGCTCTGATATTAGTAGATTGTTTTTATATAATGTACTTAGGGTTTCTTGATTTTTGGATTAACTTGCAATGGTGGTGTTCGTATTGAGAGTAAAGAAATCTTTACTGTAGCTGCTAATTTAAGAGATGGGTGGGAAAGGGCACAGGGTAAGCCTGTATGGTGGCTGCGTACTGTGACTACTGAAGAGAATTTCACCTGTTTTCTTTTACTTTTCCCCAGTTGCAGGAAGAGGTCGAGGCCGAGGAAGAGGAAGAGGACGTGGTCGTGGCAGAGGAAGAGGGGGTCCTAGGCGATAATGTCTTTCAAGATTACTCTTTCAAAGTGATAAAGAATTGGGGGATATTTTTTTGTACAGGTTTGTTTGTTTGTCGGTTTTTAATAAACGTAAGTGTGGGGATGGAGTTTTCTGCTGATTATCAAATCTAAGTTTCGGTGTCTACTGTACTCAACTGCTCAGTTCCTGGTGTCAGTCACATAAAAAGTGTGTGCACTGAACATGCATTTAATTTCTTTGAAACCATTATGTGGTGTCCCTTTCTCGATGAAATAAACTCTTGGTATTTCAACAGTGTCCTTATAAGATGGGATCCAAAATGCATTCTCCTTAGTTTTGCTCCTTGCAACCAACCATACTGGTGAGGGAAAAAAAAACATTGAATTTTGCCAGCCCAGGGTGGCCCACATTTTTAGTTCTGTATTGGGGAGGCAGAGATAGGTGCGGATCTTTGAGTTCCAGAACAGCCAGGGCAATAGAGAAATCCTGTCTTGGGAAAGCAAAAACACACTGATTTTGTTATTGTTAATTCCTTTTTATAAGGTTATCAATAGACTGTATAACCTTACATTCCCCCAGAAATTCACTAAGTTTTCATTTGAGCAGTCTCGAAGCCTTTATTTGTGCAGTGCACCAATCTGTAACTTCTTTGTCAAATGTTACAAAGTTTTGTATTTGTTTTTGAGACAGGGTCTCTACATAGCTCTGGCTTTCCTGAAACTCAGCTGAGTAGAATGGGCTGGTCTACTCACAGGGATCTGCCAGCCTTGTGTCCTAAATGATGGGATCGGAGGGGTACACTCCTATTTCTGGCCTCAAGAAGTCTTAACAAGAGAAAAACCTGTTTTGATAGCAAAAGATTTCTTACAGTTAATAAGAATTCTTAGGTTTGGTTTGCTCTTAAAAAAAAATTAAAAAAAAAAACTTTATTTTTTAATACTTTTGTGTGTGTGTCTGTCTGCATGAGGGTATTGGCATGTAAATGCAGATGCCCAAAGAGGTCAGAGGTGTTGGATCCCCTGAAACTGAACTGGGTAAGGGTGGTTGTGAGCTACATGATGTGGGTACTAGGAATTGAACTTGGGTCCTTTGGAAGTGTAGTAAATGTTCACATTTTCACCCTCTGAGCCATCTCTCCAGCTTTGTTTGTGAATTTAATTTTATTTATTTTGAGATAGGATCTCATGTCGTTCAAGCTGGCCTTGAACGTTTTTGTTACTGTCTTTTGAGAGGTTTTCCATGTGGCTCTATCTGTTCAGGGTCTAGCAGGCCTCAAACTCAGCTATTTGCCTGCCTATTTGCCTACCGATTTGTAGGATTAAAGGTGTATGCCACCTTGTCCAGGCTTAAAGGTGCATTTATTTATATATTTTATATATGAGTGCTCTGCATGTTAGCCTGTGTACCAGAGCAGGGCATCAGATTCCATTTTAGATGTTTTGATGATGCCATTGTAGGCACTGGGAACTGGATTTTAGGACCTCTGGGAGAGCACCCAGCACTCTTTCCGCTGAGCCATCTGACCAGCTCCTGTCCTTGGACTGTATGAAACAAACTGACCTTGAAGTTTTTATTGTCATCTAACTAGCTCCTGACCATGGACTGTCTATGAAACAAACTGACCTTGAACTCCTTATTGTATCTGTGTTTAGGTTTATTTCTTATGTACAGGTGCTCTGTCTGCATGTATACCCACAGACCAGAAGAGGGAGGGCATCAGTTGTGAGGTGCCATGTGGAGACTGGGAGTTGAACTCAGGACCTCTGGAAGGTCAGCTAGTGTTCCCTGACCTTGAACTCAAATCTTCAGGCTTCCATCTCAAGGGTTGGGATTACAATCTTGAGTTATCACACCCAGTTTAGAAATTTTGTTTTAATTGGTTAAATTTAGAGGAAACTACTCTGAGGATATTAGAGGCTGCCTTAGGGGTTCTACTGCTGTGAAAAGACACCATAACCACAACAACTCTTAAAAAGGTAAGTGTTTAACTGGGGCTGGCTTACAGTTTCAGAGGTGTAGTCCATTATGGTGGCAGACGTGGTGCAGGAGGGGCCTAGAGTTCTACATCTTGTTCTGCAGGTAACAGGAAGTAAACTGCCACACTGGCCTTAAGCTCCCTCATGCCTCCTAACAATACCACTATAGGCCAAACATTCAAACACATGAGTGTATGGGAACCATTCCTGTTTAAATACTGAGACAGGGATTCTCAGTGTAGCTTTGGAGCCTGTCCTAGAACTTGCTCTATAGACCAGGCAGGCCTTGAACTCACAGACATTTGCCTGCCTCTGCCTCCCGAGTGCTGGGACTAAAGGGGTGTGCCACCAATGCCTAGCTTCATGTGAGTCTTAACAATCTTTATCAATTTTCCTGGGAGCTAGGGAGGTGGTTAGATTTATAAAGTAATTGATATATAAACAGGACCTGAATTCAATCCCAAGAATCCAAAAAAACTAATACTGCAGTCAGAGGCAGGCAGATTTCTGAGCTTTCAAAGCCAGCAGTTGACAGGAAGTGAACAAGGAAATAACCATAGAGGGAGAGGGAGTCAGGGAGGGGGATGGAAGTAGGGAGGGACTGAGTTGGAATCTTGTCTGAGACAGTGGAGGAGCAAGGTCTTTCTGGGACACTGGTGGTGGAGGAGGGTCAGCTGGATGCTTTCTGGGCCTCTGAGGCATCAGGCTTTACCCACCAGCATCAAATTGAAATTTTGTTTCAAGCCTGGGGCAAAACACCATGCACATAAACATGCACATAAATTGTTAAGTTTAGGGTGTGGGCTTGTGAGATGGCTCTATTGGATTGTGGTCCTTGCCACTGAGCCTGACAACCTGAGTTTGATCCCTGGGGTCCACTTGGTGAAAGGTGAGACCAAATCCTAAAGGTTGTTCTCTGATCTCCGTATACACACAAATGCATGCACACAAAAAAATAATTTTTACAATGTTTTATGTAGGAGCCAGTGAAGTGGTTTAGTGGGTAAACTGCAAGCCTAATGACCTGTGTTCAATCTCCAGATGCCACATACAGGTGGAGATATACAGGTGACTCCTGGGAGTGTTCTCTGATCTTTACAGGCATGCCATGAGTATACACACTGGCTCTTGCCTTTCTCCTCTCTGAAACATGATTAAGTAGCCATTGTGAAAAGTGGTATGCAAATTTCAAGACTGAAGATTGTGTGCAAGGCATGATGGGTAATCCCCTGTCTAAAAATGGTCTTGGCAGTATTTTAGCCAATTGGGTAGATTCAAGTACTTACTTATTCCACTATATACTTGCTTATTTTGTTTATAGGTGATGTTGCTGGATTTTCTTTCCCAGCCTGGGCCATCAGCCATCTTTATCCCCAGATAAACACACTGACACTATATTAATTATAGAACTGGTGGTCGATGACTAGGGCTTCTTACTGGCTAGCTCTGTCTTAATTATTAATCCATTTCTTGGAATGCCCAGCCCTGTTACTCCTTTGGCTGGCTACATGGTGACTTCTCTGTCGGTCCTCTGCCTCTCCCAGAATTCTCACCCTAGTCCTGTCTATCATCCTGCCTCATTGGCCAGACAGTGTTTTATTCATCAACCAATAAGAGAAACATATATAGAAGGACATCTCCCATCAAGGATATTAAAATTACACACTTGATCTATGATTGGGTGGCTTTATCAAAACTGATCCAACAAAAAATTTTATGAGATCAGTGATTAATACTTTATGAGTGTTTTGTCAAAATGTATGAATGTGTAGCACGTGTGTGTGGTGTTGGAGGTCAGAGAAGAGTGTCAAATCTGAAACTGGAGGAATTAGTTGTGCATATGGGTGCTGGGAACTAAAGCCCAGTCCTCCACAAGAACAAGTACTCATAATCACTGCGCCCCTCTCCAGCTTCTCAGAGAGAGGGTGCAGGCCGACTCCAAACCAACCCTTCTGCCTCAACTTCCTGTAAAGTGTGCCTTTCATGTACCCCCAGCCATGTCCCTTGGATTTCAAATTGGGGAATTCAACTGGAGGTCAAAAAGGTTGTGTCTCTGGTCTAGGGAAATTGCTGAACAGTTCAGGGCACTTGGTACTCTCCAGAGGACCCAAATTCAGCACCTAGCACCCTCACTGGGTACTTGAAAACTAACTTCAGCTTGAAGGGGTCTGGCACTCTCTTCTGCTTTCAGCACCCACACATATTTTAAAGATGTTCTGCGGTGGCACAGGTCTGTGTTCCCTTTTCTCAAGGCCAACTGCTGTATGGCAAGTTCAAAGCACGGCTAGTCTACATGAGACCTTGTCTCCGATAGTGAAATATGCATGATATTATTGTGCATGATGAGTAGACTGTAACACAAGTGCTTAATGCACAGAAGAATTCAGTAGTCATTATAAAAAGTACATGAGAGATGTAAATATTCACAGGTCTTGATAGCTGCAAACTTCAATGTATATGAAATGTAACTGTAACTCTGTGTGTGTGTGTGTGTGTGTGTGTGTGTGTGTGTGTGTATTTCCCCCATCTTTTCAAGCAGGGCATTCTTCAGGATGCCTCTAAATACCTTACCTTCATGGTGGGTTACAGAAATATGTAACCATACCTAGCCTTCATATCTAAGATAAAGCACCAGGGGGAGCTGGAGATTTGTAAGAGGTAAAGCACTTGGCCTGGCGTGAGTAAAATGCTGGGTTCAATGCCTCTCAAAGTAGCAGCTAGAGGAGAATTTAAGTAAATGTCAAGATATTTTTTAACTGTTTTGAAATTTTTAGTGTAAGCTGGGAGGTGGCCGTGTATGCCTTCCATCCCAGCACTTGGGAGACAGAGGCAGGTAAATCTCTAGTTCGAGGCCATCCTGGTCCATATAGTGAGTTCCAGGACAGCCAGGGTTACAAACACAAACCCTGTCTTGAAAAACAAAAAAGTTTCAATATCTAGAATGTTTGCAGTGTTCTAAACACAGCTTAACAGGACATGCCACAGTGGGTACTTGGTGAGCTCATTCTACAAGAGGTTATAATTTTATATTATTTATTTATTTTTGGAGATAGGGTTTCTCTGTGTAGCCCTGGCTTTCCTGGAACTCCATTTGTAGACCAGGCTGGGCTCAGGGATCCACCTGCCTCTGCTTCCCCAGTGCTGGGCTTAAAGATGGGCACTGCCACTGAGTTGCC